GTGCACGAGTGGAACCCGCGAAAGTTCAAGAAGAGCCCCCACACATGGGTTGTCGAATGGTTGCCTTTCCTTAGACCAGCTGACTTGGACCCCAAGGGATCGGGCCTGGTCGCCGAGATCAAGCGCAAGATCCGGCATGCACTGCAGTCTATCGATCTTTCCAAAGGTCCGCTACCAGGCATGGAACAATGGAGAAGGGTGTTTGGAAAGGCGGAGTTTGATCATCTACTCACTTCCCATCTGGTACCTCGCTTGTCGGCCTTCCTGCGAGATAGCTTTGAGATCAACCCCGCTGAACAAGATCTCGCGCCACTCGAGGCTGTGTTCGCCTGGAAAGGACTGATATCGAATGAGGTCATTGGAGAGCTGCTGAAAGCACAATTCTTCCCCAAGTTCCTCGAGATTATCCACCAATGGCTCACGAGCCCAGAAGTGGTCTTTGAGGAAGTCCAGACGTGGCTTACCTGGTGGAGGACTGAGATCCTGCAGGACGACATCAACAATCTGCCTTCAGTCGCCTCGTCATGGAACGAGGCATACTCACTCATCAACACGGCACTGGATCTTGGAGATGCAAGACTGACAGATCTGCCCGCGCCCCATGTGGAAAGCACAGGTGCCTCTCCAGAGGTGTCTCAGTTCTCCAAATCGGTCAACCAACAAGCATCCCGTCCTACACCGCAAGTAGACGAGCCGACTTTCAAAGACATTGTAGAGGAGTTCTGCGCCGAAGAGAACCTCCTTCTCCTTCCTCTCCGCGAAGCCCACGACCAGACCGGTCTACCGCTGTTCCGTGTCACAGCAAGCGCGACGGGACGCGGAGGCGCAGTGGCGTATCTCAAAGGCGACATCCTGTGGGTGCAAAACAAGAAAGACAAAAGTGTCTGGGAGCCTACCGGTCTGGACGCAAAGCTCATAGCCAAGGCAGAGGGCAAGTGATGCCTCCCGCTTCAAACTGCGTATTTCACACCACCTCGGTGCTCGGTTCTGGCAGGGTAAGCTCCCATAGCCTCTCCTGGGCAGATGTTTTTGTTAGCCATTCGCTAATCCGGCATCGGTACGATGCTTCCTTAGGTAGTGATAGTGATGACGACGCGCAGTCAGTCGAGGCTATAATGAAGCCACGTTATCTCTCCACCAGCGTCTGTTCGTAAGCATAGCAAGGCATACCAAAGTGCCGAAAGTGTTGCATGAATCGTGAACGAAAGAGGAGTACGGCCAATGCGAACGGCTGTCACAGCATCGGGGGGTGATGCGGGCGTTTTAATCGGTCCTTGCTGCAAGCCTAGTCTGTGACTTTCGTTGCATCGCCCATCACGGGCATTAAGCCACGAGGCCGCGTAGAATTATTCACTTCAGGTGACGAGTCGGACTGCGAAGGAGATATCTGATCCTGGATGTCGCCAATATAGTGGCTCCGTGATGGCTCGTGATTACTAGTGTGATGGGGTGACTGTGCGCTGATTCGCATATGTAGGTGTAGTCGGGCGCTTAGAATAGATTTCCGTGGCCAATGGGAATAGCGGATGGAGTGCGCATTTTCTGGCGTGCAGGGGCAGCCTTTCATGCGTGCTGACGGTCGTGGGTGGGTGGGGGAGACGGAGGGAGGATGGTGAAGGTCAAAGGAGGTCTCATTCTGCTGCATTAATTCTACTCCAGTATTGAGTACTCTGTGTGAATTCTTGCGCATAGCACTTCAGTAGAGAGCTTGCTCTCCTATGGTTTGTAGCCAATAGGACGCTTCAAGACATAAGTGGGGACGTGGCATTAGAATAGCCCTAGGTAGTTCTCCATCGCCAATGGGAGACGCAGAACGGGTGCGCATTTCTTGGTCTTGCAGGGGACGCCTTTCATGCATGCGGACCGTCTCCCGTTGACTGTGCCCCGAGCTGGCAGGCGATCGCGCATGTCCGGGAGGTTGGTGTTGGTAGTCTCGAGTACTGTGCGCTCGAGCGTTGCGGCACGGGTAAACATGTTTCTCGAGGTTTTCTCCACCACAACGACGACAACAAAAAGGTATTACAACAGTTGGTACCACCGCATAGACTCGATGCTTATAGCTCAAGCCTCGAATGTCGAGATTTATCATCGGCACATCCCATCCCGCTCTAGCTTGAACGAAGCGACCCCGCCTCAGCGGCTGAGAGACAGCATCCACTGGACGCCCCAATGTAGCTCAAGAACTAGGCCGGCCAATCAGACCGCGCATGCACCTTCCCAAGCCATCACACCCAGTCGCTCTTTCCTTGCATCCGACCACTTGCAGACCGCCGATCAAAGTACTTACCCGCTGCCCATCCCTCTTCATATCACCATGTCGCCTGCTGTTACACTCTGCATTTCACCCGGTTCCTCTCAGTCGGGATAGCGGGCACTCATTCATGTGCAATTGCGGCCCTAGATCGACATTGCACCCTGGACGACCTTGACGAAGCAGCAAGCAAGCTCGAAAGTTAGACCGCCCACATCTGATTGTCACATTATTCCTCTTTTCTCTGTTATATATTTCCAGTCCCCCCTTGACCTGAGGGCGGCGGATTACGATGCTCGTCGGAGCGCTTCCTCCGGCACTCATCTCACTGCTTCTTGTTGCATCGCGTGTTTCTGCTGCGCCTTACGACTTTCTCGATAACTATCGCGACCCCACGCCGGCGGCTGACGAGGGGCCTCCTGCTTCATATCAGGCTGTCCGAGACAAGAACGTGCTGCCGTACGAGATTTGCGGTGTTGTTGGCGGCTACGTCTTTACAGTACTTATCTGGGGGGTTCTTCTCCTCACTGTTGGTAGAAAGATGAGACGGAAGGCTCTCGACCCGCCCAAGCAATTGGAGCTGGAACTCCAGGACAAACCGACTCTACCGGCTCTTCGAACAGCTGGACTTACATCGCCACCGCTGTCCGCGCGATCGTTTTTCGGAAAGTTCAAGAGGAACAGGAATGACTCTGCTGTTAGCAACCCACAGAGTCCTGTTGTTCAGTCACCAAGCTCTTTCGACCAAAAGGTCGTCGATGCCCACCGGGGTCAAGACCAAGCAGACATGGAGCGTCTCTACGCCGCCGTCATGGATTTCGATGAACGAAAACATTCATCCAAAGTCAGTGTAGAAGAAACAGAGCCCATCCCCCGACCCACCGAGCGACGACGCCCCTCAAACATCAGCATCGCGCGCCCAGAATCCCACAGCGAAACCCCAATCTCGCCCGTAAAAGCCATCTACCCACCAAACTACAGCGTCCAACAACCCGCTGCGCCCACCCACAGCACCCACCTCCGCGCCGACGCGCACCCACCCCCAAGCCCCCGCAGCATCCTCTCGAAGCGCTCCCAAAACTCCAACACCAACTCCACCGGCAGCAAAAACGCGCGCTTCAACCTCAAGAACCTGCGTATTTCAGGCCCGATCGCAAAGTACCCAGGCGCAGACTCCGACGACGAAGCGCGGACACCGCTCTCCCCGCGCTTCTACGCAAACCCCGGTGTCCCTCCTTCGCCACCTACACAGACGAACTCGCCAACCTCGCCGGAGCAATACACAGAAGAAGCACTGGATAGCGTACAACCCCTTCCCCGACCCGCACCGCAACGCCTCGGTCTCGGTCCACCACCAACATCCCAGCCCTCACCCCGCCAACAACCCCCCAAACCCCTCTCCCCACCTACCTCCCTCCCCCTCCGCAGTTTCGCCTCACCCCTCGCAAGCCCCGGCATCCAAACCACAGTCCTAGACCGCCGCGTCGAGGCCCTCGCTCTCGGCACCCCGAAAACAGGTGTGCCCTTTACGCCATACAGCCCGTACATGCCGTTTACACCCATCACGCCCGTGACCCCGCATTTGACGACACGGAAAGAGCGCAAGATGGAGAAGAAGGAGGGGAGGAAGTATGGGAGTAGGAAGCCGAGGGTGGAAGAGGAGCTTGTGCAGAGTCCGAAGGAGATTTTTGGGGATGGGTGGTAGAGGGATATGTGTGTGGGATGGGGAGAGAGGGGGGAAAGGAGGGATGGAAGTGTTGCATCTGCATCTGTTTTTAGCGATTTCCTTGTTTTACTGTCACTGATAACACGCCGCCGGTTGGCAGGTTGATGATGATATGCGATGGCATGCATAGTTCTTTTCTGCGTTTATATTTATGACGTGTATTTTATCTGGAGGAAGGAGAGTGGGTTAGCATCGAAACGTATATATTGAGACGAATACTTTCACAGACCAGCATATTAGCCTTACGAATTTCTCCCATGTCAATCACAACCAAACTAACATAGACGGGCGTGCAAAGACGACTGGTCAACAAAACCAGCAACTCATGCATTAAAAAGCCACTTTATATAACCCTTTCCACGCCAAGATAAATGGCTCAATCTAATTCTCCCCCTTCTCCTCTTCCACAGCTCCGCCCCCCTAATCGCGTTCTTCTTCACTTGCTCCTTCCCTCCCTCCCTCAAACAACCAATAAATACACACACGAGAAAAAAGTTTGCGACGCCGACAAACAACTATGCCCAATCTAACGCGTCTGAGCCAGAACCCTATACACTGAACAAGAAGAAGTAAGAAGAGTTGTTGTAGTATCCGTAGTAGTATCCATAGTAGAAGTCCCTCCTGTTTTCGCAGCGAATATGTTGAGAATCTTGATGTATGAAAGGGCAGGCACCCTTTGCTGCCCCCAAGCCGAAGCCCGCTAGATGCCACTATAGTTCTGAGCCCAACATATATCGCTCGCTGGTGACAGATTCTTCTTTCTTTGGGATGCGCATACCTATGAGTTTGAGTGACAAAGGAGATTTTCGGGTTGGTATTTCGGACTGGTATGGTAGTTTGACACAAAGGAAAGCAAGAAGACGCCCGAAACGCCGTTCGCTGGATAGATAAGCAGCACTTCGGTCGCAGAAGATAGCAGTCGAGCGGGGACGATAGTAGTACGACAAGAATGATATCGCGGGGTTTTGGTATTCTTTGAGAAGTATGCATAAAGTACTCATATTGTACCCACGCGTATCTCTCTCAAAAGTTTGCCAAACCGTTCTTGGAATGACGTTTGCTAAAGCGCTTCCTGCCCTTGATCGAGTCAGTCTCGGCGTTATCTTTGCGAAGGTGGCCGCCGCCCCCATGCCGCGAGGCGGGTATGTTGACGCCCTCGAGGGCGGAGTCTCCTCCCAACGTACTGGTCGGGGTGGTGTGGTTTGAGACGAGCTCGTTCAGACCTACGTCGGCTGAGTACGAGTTGGTCATGGTTTGCGCGAACGCGTAGTCGCGTGCTTGTTCGATGCTGTCGAGCCATTCTTGGCTCGAGTACTTGCTGCCGTCGGGGTCGCTCGTTGTACTCTTGGGGTCTTCGAAGACGTATTGCTTCTCTTTCTGGGAGGGGTGTTAGTGGGTTTTGGGTTGGGTTGGGAGTGGGGTTGCGTACTGTTTCTACGAGCCAGGCAGTGAGGCCTTTGGAGTCTTGGAATGATCTCCATGCGCAGCCTGCGGAGAGCAGCGATACCTCTTCCTTCAGCTTCTTGTCATTCGTGCCTGCTGCGCACATCAGTACGCGTGCATTCGACGTTATCATGACGAGCCGTTGGCGCTTCTTGACCGTGTTGCCGCCGAAGAAGCGCGAGAACTTCTTGGGTTGCTCGACAGGCTCTTCCTTTCCGCCTACAACATGACCCGCCGGGTGTTGCGTCACAAACATGTTTCCCAGCTTCAATATCCGTTCGTCTCGCTTCGTGAGGACTGGTGACCAATCGATGTCTAGTTGGGAGGGAGGGGGTAGTTCGGTGATGAGGCGCGGCTTCGGTCGTGCCTGGGTTTGGGTGGATGCCGCTACTGATGGCGTTGATGGGCCTGGACGTGTTATTGGCGTTTCCTGGGGAGTAGAAGGGTTCCTACCATTCAGCTTGATGGGCTCCTGTGCCGGCGGACTGTAGGCCTTCAACCGTGGAGCCTTCTGTTTCCACAGGCCTTTGCCCCATTGTATTCCTTCAAAGAAGGGGTGGTTCTTGATGTGCTCCATGGGTAACCGCGTCAACGGATCCAGGACCAGCAGTCGCTCCACCAGGTCCTTTGCCAGCGGAGGGAAGCCATCCGGAAATGTGTATTCGAGACCAACAATCTTTTGGAAGGTCATGTACTCGTTCGCGGCCTTGAACGGTGGTCGGCCGGCGAGTAATTGGTAGATGATGCACCCGAAAGCCCACAGGTCGCTGGCTTTGCATGCATTCTTGTCTGTGAGGAGTTCGGGCGAGACGTATTCGGCGGTTCCGACGAAGGACTGCGCGCGGTCCATCTGCACGCTTTCCAACGGATCGCCGGTTGTTGAGCTAACGCCGTTGTGTTTTTGCTCGAGTATTTTTGCTGTTCCAAAATCAGTAATCTTGACATGCATCGCATCATCGAGCAGGACGTTCTCCGGTTTCAAGTCGCGATGTATGACGCCCTTGTTGTGCATGTAGTCGATGGAGTCCAGTATTTGCGCGCCGTAGAACCGTGTGCACTCGACGTCGAATGTGCCCATCTTCTTGAGGAAGCCCAGCAGCTCTCCGCCCGCTGCCAGATCCAGCACAAAGTATAGCGATCGCTCGTCCTGGAAGGTGTAGTAGAGTCGGACTATGCCGGGATGCTCAGTCAGTCGGTTGAGGGTGTCTTTTTCGATGTTCACGTATTTGACCTTTCTCTCCTTGATGATGTGGCGCTTGTCGAGCACCTTGATCGCGTACTCGCGCAATGTCTGGCGGTCCGTGGCGGCCAAGACTGTGCTGTAGGAGCCCTCGCCCAGTGTCCTGCCAAAATTGAAGTCCTTGACGCCCTTCTTCACGACACGCGTTATCGGCCGTCCGTTCTGGTCGAGGTCCTGGCGGGTGCTTACAGCCGCGCCCTTCTCCTTCCACTCCTCGCTGCTCGATAGCGGCCCGCCTTCCACGCTGTAGGGTGAACTGGATAATTGTGAGACTCCGGCATCCATGGGTATCCGCCGCGAGCTTCTCCGGGGCGGCATGGGGCCGTTCATGGCGGACATCTGGGCTGACTGGCGGTACGGGTCTCTCCTGCTGGCCTCTCTGACGGGCATGGCGCCAGGCGCAACCCGCGAGCTCGCCGTCCGCCGAATATCGCCCGCCATTGCGTCGTCGTTGTATCGGTAGGTGCCCGGGGCGGTGGTGGACGAGGTGGAGAGGTTGGGGTGCTGGTACATGCTGGTGGAGACGGGGCGCTCCCGCATGGGCTGCGACGTCGGGGCGGCGCTGCGCTGCTGCTGGAGCAGTGGGCCGGCGGCATATGGGGGATAGGCGGGCTGCTGGTGCTGGGCCTGGTGCTGTAGGGGCATCGACTGGCGGTGGGAAAGGCGCGGCGAGTGCGAGTGCGTCGACGACGTGTCGGCCAGGGGCGAGGGGAAGGCGGCCGGGGAGCCCGAGGGCGAGCTCTGGTAGGCATTGGCGGCGGGCTGGAGCGAGGAGTTGGCGGGCTCCTCTTCTATGTACGAGTGTTGGTACGTGGGGTCCTGGTTGGGGTGTTGGGCGACGGCATGGTCGTGGTCGGGCGCGTCTTGGTGCTGCGTGGGCGGCGGCGAGTCGTCCTCGTCCGGGTTGGCGATGCGCAGTCCGCCGAGCGTCTGCGACAGACTCAGGTCGCCATTCATCGTGGCGGCCACGGGGCAGCGCCTTGTCTGGCAACGGCGGTAAACGAGAAGAGCGAGTGAGGTCGCAGCAGTAGCTCAGGCACCACCCGCGGCGCGTCAAAGTAGCCTCTTTTAGCGTGCGGAATACGAGCGTGCAGCGGAGGCATGGCAGGGGCCCAGCGGCCAGGGCAGTGGGCAGGAAACGACAAAGGCCTCGCGGTGAGGATGCGATACAGGGCGCCCGTCGTGATGCTCCGCTGCCACCGTTGGTGATGCCATGCTCGGCGACTCGCTGACGAACGCCGACCCACCGACACGGACACTCGAGTCGGCGATACACTACACCACTACCACGACATCACGACAGACGCGCCGAGAAACATTGAATACGCGTAGTAACGCATGCAATCGTACCTCACTCTAGTATCTCATGCACCACATGACGTTCACCTCGTGGCTCACCTGGGCACTTACATCACCAGTATCTCACCAGTACAAGTCTGGTAGCGATGCGTCTTCACGGCAGTCAACGCGTAAGGTGCGTTGACGTCCATCATGTCGGACGGGAAGGCGCTGCTATGCGCGCCATCACCACCACTGCTACTGCAACGGCGCTTCCTAGATAACAGCAAGAGAGCAAGAGATAGAATCGGAAACCACCATGGCTCCAGGTAGGTAGATTGCTTCACGTATACCGGCTATTGCGTCTTCTCATCTGCACACCCTCTTTTGGACCCATATCCCTTCAGCTTCACCCCTGTCGTTCGCTCCCCAGTTGGTAAACATGTTACGTCTCAGACCGTCAGAACTTACCTTGACGCCCGACGATGTCGAGGAGACCTTTCGTCGCATAGCCATCAGGCAAACCTCCAGAGCGACCACAAACCTGACTTCTCGCCCTACAGGACAACCAGGACGACCCATACTCAGACGCGGCGCTCAGAGGTCAACCCGGGATGCCATCACTGCCCTGGGGTCCATTCCCATACTGCAGCCCCAACAAGCAACATTTTCTTCTGTGGAAGAGGAGGAGGAGACAGAGCATACCTCCAGTCAGGAAGCAACGCTATCAACAGATCGTGACGATACCGAGGGGACTACTTCGTCCAGTCACGAGAGAGAAACCGAGCCCCCACAGTCTCCAGCGTCGCCAGCGTCGCCAACATGGTCACTCCCCTCTCCGGTCTCCCCACCTCGACGCACAATGCATCTTCCGTTTCGATTCGGACGAAGCCGTCGAACTTCCACGACTCAATCTCCGCCGGATGCAGTTGTGGCAGTATCTCGTACGCCAACAAGAGCACCGGTCGGACATGCCAGACTGGGCTCAACTGGTGCAAGCAGCATAGGTGATACCAGCAACAACTCCACGTTATCTCCATCTGGTGGGTCTACCGAAAGTACTTCTGGATTGCGAGGCGGCGGAGATCGGATACGCGACATGGCTCAAGATACGCCTCATGCTCCGTCGCCCCTACACCAGATGCAGAGACTAAGTTCGCCCGCATACCAACAGCCATCCGGGGACCCTACCAAGTCGCCGGTCAGCCCGCGCCTACACAATCCTACACTCTATCTCGAGGGCTACGTCCATGATACCCCGAATAGTACCACGTATCATTTCCGGGAAAGCGATAAGTATCGTTTTTGGAGTATTGCACCGCACAGTGAACCACGGCGAGGTAGCAGTCGTCAGCCTTCCACCGCACGAAGTTCCTCTACAGGGGCCGCCATAGGATCCCGTGTTGCAAGTCAAGCTCAAAGCCCCCCGGACCAACTCTTTGAAGACGTCTTCCGTACATTACCAGCGGTCGAGCCTCCAACCAGACAGTTTGCTAGATCTTCCACCGTAACTCATGGGGAGGACTACCATTCTACTGCATCAGATATTTTCCATACTTCCGGTGGCTCGCTCCAGCCAGAACAAGCAGGCCCAAGGTCAAGGCACTTTAGTAGCGACGCTTCAGCTGCCAGTGCGCAATTCTCTTATTACGGCTCACTTGCCTCTAGTACGAGGTTCCCCAGCAGCGAGGCGTCGTTGGGACGTGACTTATCCCGCGTTCAGCTCGATGGAGCGGCCGTCTCGAATGAAAGCCATTGCGACTACTCACCTGACAACCCCTTCGCTGCCCAACTGCGTGCAATTTCAGGTAGCTCGGCTTATTCCTCGTCAAGCAGGGCTGGCTCTGGTCCCCACGGGCTCTCGCCGCTCCCTTCAATGCCTTATAATCGCACCGAAGCTGGTCACCCGGTGCCCCGCAGCTACACAGGTGGCTATATTGACGCCACTACAGCGGTGGTACAAGATCTCGAGTCGCCTCTTGATCCCTATGCGCAGCACTATCAGCAACAGCTACGAGCCCAAGCTGCCCGAGAGGAAGCTCTTCAACAGCATGCTTTCCGCCAGCAGGCTATGCTAAACCAGCGCTTTCCTCCCCAGTCCCGTACAGAAAGTTTCCAAACCCGTCGTTCGAGCCATGGGCAGGGTAGCCAGCCACGCCCCCCACATCAAATTCCAAATGGTATCAGAATGCCCTTCCCCCATCAGTCTCAGCAACAATCACCGCGACCTCTGCAGTATCCCTCCGAACGTACTGCCACGATGCAGAGCTCGCAATTTGGTGGCAGAGGTGGAAGAGGTGATCACCGGTCCGGTGAAAACGACCCCGCCTCGCCATCAACAAGTCGGGATCTGATTGCGCATCATGGCAGAGTGCAGGCGCAGAGGGCAGCATTTGAACGTTTGCATAACCCGCGGTCAACGCAGGTCGAGACTGCTATCAACACATCTCGACGTAGCTTGCCGCAGACGACGGTTCCTCACGATAGATCCAATCAGCCCCGCGACTATGCGCAGCCTCCGTTTACAGCCATGGGGATGCCTCACCGCAATGAGGAGCGTTCGAGCACTCCTAATATCCCGCGACATGCAACGCAAGGAATGCATGATCGTCAGGCAGTTCCAAACGGAACCCGCCAATTCTTCGGCGAACTTCCTCAACGTGTACCCACTCAACCGTACCGCCCCCTCCCCGGCGCCCGCCACCTCCACCCAACCCGTGACAGCTCTCTCACAGCTCTCGCTCTAGATCATGGCAGTGGCACGACTAGTAGGCGCTCGCGCTCGCCGCTCATTCGGGCCCGTACGCATAGGCGCATACCTCCAGAGCAGCGCGATCAAGAGAACGACGGGGATAGGTCGTTGATGCGACGGGAAGAAGAAAATGTCAACGCGCGCTATGGAGAGGAGGAACAGCGGGGCGAGAGGATGGATGAGACACCTCCTAGAATCGGGCGGGTGGAGAGGAGGATGTTGGATTAGGTGATATGTGGGCTTTCCTATTGGTGGTGCTGGGGAGGATGGTATGGTACGGAGCTGTTTGAATACGCTAGGTCATCATTCGTAGATGGATATGCCGTTGAACACGTGCCGGCTGGATGCGCACAGGCAGATTCCGAGTATAAAAACTGCCTTTTGGCGTCTTCTCTTCTGTTCATTCAAACTTCCGCATTTAGATTCTTTTCTCCAAAAGGGTTCGAGAACTTCTTCATGGCGCCTGCCTCCCTTTCCAAAGAATACAACGGCACTGGTATCATGTGCGAGTCACCAAAAAACCTTTTCCCACTACTACATGTTCCCTTCTTCGCCTGCCCATACCAAAAAAACTACACCGACAGCATTCATGTCCTCGTCTCCGCCTGGCTTCTCTCAAAATGCAGTCCGACAAACGACATGGCCTCGCAGCATTCTCGCCATCTCAACCTACGACACGCTCCGACGTATAAAAGCCTCTACTGAGCTATCGCCTTCTTCTCTCCTCTACCAACTTCCAAGGATTTCTTCGCAAAAATAAACGACGTCCTTGATCATGGTTTCGGCTTCGCTGTCTCGAAAAATCGTGGACGACTTCGCATGTGCGGGTCGCCAGAAAAGGTTGCAGTACTCTTGGATGTGCTTCCGGCCTTTTGAAACAGTTGGGGTATGGCATAATGGGGAGTGCCTTCCTCTTCCTTTTTCCCAAAAAAAGTCGCTGTACAGAACAATGTTTCCGGGAATTGTCCGCCGCGGCCTCAAAACAGCATGTCGACTCTTTTATGCTACGGACACTGGATATATAAATATTACGGCTCGACTGGCCCTCTCCCCCTTTCACCTATCTTCCGCAAAAAGGCCTTTCGGAAACCAAAATCAAAGAGTTCCACGATGTGGAGTTTGTGTCTGCGACTTTCTCAAAAACAGAACGAACATTATGATGGGGGCAGTCAAAAAAGGATCGACGAACCATTCGATGTGTTTCCTCCTCCGCTCCGGTCCAAAAGTCACGAGAGGAACCACCTATGCTGCTTCTTCTGGTTCAACTTCTCATCTCGCCATGAACCCCGAAACGCCGAAACATTCTGCTTATGTGGCTGCGCGCCTGCTGCTGGGGTATAAAATGCGGTTGATATCGAGTACTTCTTCTATACTCCACACCACGGTACCACTCTCCAAAACAATCTCGAGCATCGCCATATGTGCTGCTCTTCCTCCGAAAATTCCAGACCTACATGGACATGAGAAGTGTGCGCCGGAGATCGAAAAAACTCACGAGAAGAACGCATGTGCTGTCTGCTGCACCGTCGCATTACGTCGTTAAGAGTGGTCAAATGCTACATCAATTTTCAGCATAAAAGCAGTTTGGCGACTTCTTTATGCTGGCAGTGTGCGGCGGAGATCGAAAAAGCGAACCAAAAGCATGCATGGACTGTCTGCTTAGCCGTCGCATTACGTCGATGAAAGCGGTCAGATACTACAATACTTCCCAGCATCTAAAAATATCGGCGGCTTCTTCATGTTGGTGTGCAAAAACGCTGGCTGAGTATAAAATCACATCTTCGGTGTCTCGCTACCTCCTTCTTGTCCTTCACGTTCCGGGGTTATTGTCCAAAAATACCATACGCCGTCTGGATGATCTGCTCCTCCTCTTTCCAGAAATATCACCAACCACTTCACATGGCTGTATCCTGCTCTTCGAAAAATA